TGAAAACCAGGAATAGTGAGAAATTAAGGCGTTTCTTGCAGAACAGAGAAAATATTTTTATAAAGTTTTGATTGATCTGTTTTTTACAGCTTATCAACCCTTTGTAGGTTATTTAAAACCTGGAAATATTTTTAGATTGTAAAAATTTGTTTTTAGATAATAATGTGTCTTTTTTATAAATAATTTCATGGTGATTTTTCGGATGAGTTCTTTGCTATGTAACTAAACATTTTTTAAAAAAATTGAAACACAGTACTAAATATCTCATCAATTTACAACTAGCTAGATGTAGCTTTAAGTTCTTTAATAACAGTTTCTTTTCTTGCCCTTCTCGCTTGTGGATCTCCCTTCCGGCTGCATACTTTCCAGCCAACTTAAATCTGCAAAAAATTAAATACAATATCAATCGCTGTCGACTGTCCTCCTGTTTACTCTTTTTTCTTTCCGCTCATTATTAATGTTTATGTTCCTATTTAATAGGTAACCCCTTGTGTCTTAGTGGTTTTACTTCCTTGCATAGGGGCGATTCTGATTTAAAAAAAAAGGAACTTTTTTAATTTTAAACCTCCGATAACTGCAGTCATATCCAACAGAGAAAAGCTTATGGAAGTAAATCGAATCAAAAAACCGGAAGTGGAGCCCTGAAAGCGGTTAACTGTCAAACTGACAACTTTCTAACAATTCCTGTAGCCAAGCCGACACCAAATGTAATGTTCATTATTCCTTTTGATCTTGTTGGTACGGCCGAGATGTGGGTTATGTAGCCTGGGCACCGCACATCCTTCATATATGATCGCCAGTCTAGGAGAAGGAAAAAATCTGAATTCAAACCACCTGCAGCCTTGTAGGTCCTGCCTCTTTAACTTGTGATAGAAAGGACGGGGTAATCTCAAGATCCTCGGTGTAAAACGAACCGGCAAGCTATTGCACTATTCTACCTTGAATGTCTCCAGTAATGACAAATGGGATATGCTCTAAATGAATAAATGAATGATTTAGTAAAAATTCTTACTAATTGACCCACATAGTTGTGAAAAAAAGAGTTGGATTCATACCTTTCCCAAGAGTATTTGCGCAAGGTGAATATAACCAACCTGACTGGAATTAGAATTCGGCTCTCTGATTAACAAATCCGAGCCATTATCCAATATATTACCAGTACATACAAGTTTACAGCACCTGTTATTCCCAAGTCAAATCTAGGTCGAGATCAGGCTCGACCGTTGCTTAAATTTGATAGTCGTACAAGAAGCAGTCCATTTTTTAATTCTATTTTTAAAACCACGTTGTAAAAGCGTATTTGTTTTGGCTTCCGTATGGCGTTTGATTCGATCCGTTTTTTATGGCTTATTGACTTTTTCTGGGTTACCTAAAGCTGAGACTTATTTTTGATTATTGGAATAATTCTCCTCTTACGAGTGAATATTGAATTAACAATTTTTTTTTAATAACAATGATTTTTCCTGATACAAGTTCTACTCTTTAACCCAGAACAGAAGGTAGAAAATAAGTAAAGCCCTTTTCCAAGGTTACTTGCAAGTAAGTAAATTTTACTAACCCGACTGGAATTCGAACTAGGTTCTCCGATTTCACATTCCAACACTCGCACATCCTTTTCGTAGGAGGGAAATAATTTACAATGAATTTACATGGCAAACTGCACCCCGCTACTTTTATCTTTTATAATAATTAATTAATTATGTTTTTATTATTAATAAGAGAGTGACTCGTTGCGTCTTCACGGGTTAATGTTTTCTAGTGACATGGAGTGTATAGATTATATTGAATCAATTGCTAAACATGCTGTTAGAAAAGTTGGTTCACTGTGTCGTGATAAACATTTTTCTCGCCAAAATCTGTCATTCGTCAATGTTTGTTTACTGCTGCCATTGCTTCTGCTATGTATTTAGAGATTCTTGATGAAATACAAATCTAACATTCGTCATTGCTTTGAATATTGCTGTCACATCTGCTCTGGTGATCCTGCTATATATTGCGTTGGTGCATAATTATCTGGCGTTTTTGTAGGCGAGTTATTTGTTCATAAAATCTGCTGTTTTGTTTACTTTTTTGATAAAAATATTATTTCATTTTCAGTTTATAAAATGCGAGTCGATAATCATACGCTCCGGAATAGTCATTTAAAAATGTTATTGTTGAATTGTTATGTTTCGTTTTTCATAATAAATATTGTTTAAAAAACGCCTAATAATCATGCAATATTTATAGATTCTTAATAAAAATCCAAAGAATCTGCAATGTTATTGGTTTTGACCTGGCATCTCGGCTTCAGTCACATCCCCACCACCGTAATGTAGCTACCATCTGCCGTTTTCCATATATATTTTCATGGTAGTTGTTCTGATAATGATATCTAAACGTTAAGCGTACTAGATTGACGGCAAGTTCTCATCATTTTACAGTTGAAATGGCTAGATGCAACCGCAAGTTCTATGCTGACATATTCTTCTCTCCTACTTCTGGTTCGTCGAACTCTCTTCCTGCTTCTTGCTTTCCAGTTAACTTTGATCTTGAAAAATGTAAATCCAGTGTCTACCATTGTTTTCTGTCTTCTTAATTCTCTTTTATTATTCTCTCTACTTAATAATGTTTTTATTTTCCACGTTCTCACACACTCAGTAACCTCATTAGTAGCTTTTTACCTTGCTTAAGGTGAAATGATTTTGTTGTATCCTTAAAAAGGTTACAGACAGACAAAGGTGGTACTCGAGTGAAAGGAACAGCAACACAGGCATAGATGAAAGAAAGAAAGGTTTATTGTTAAAGAGAATACACTACTGAAAGACAGGAAGTCGACTAATACTTCCCGAGGCCAGTCAGATAGACAGACAGACAGACAGACAGACAGACGGTATTTGCTTGAAACACTGAGACAGCTTGCGACAAAAGGTCGGTTTTTAACGTGGGAACCAGAGTGTCTTCATTCGGGTCGCTGGTCTTAGCTGGTCATAGCTTGTCCAAGCTGGTCAGAGCTGATCTAAGCTAGTCTTAGCTGGTCCAAGCTAGTCATAGCTTTGATGCTACCAGCGCAGGGACGGATCCCTTTGACCGGTAAGTATCCGAATGTGTATACCCCTAAAGAGAGGAATTTACACACATTTTCTTTTTCTAAGCGTAGCTTAGATGTGGCACAAGGCCGGAAATATAGGGCACCCAGTGAGGATCGAACTCACTATTCAGTCGTAATTGTTTTAGCGAGACAAGCTTGCTAACCATTACACCACGCCGATGGTATGTTCTGTGCACGCTACATATATTACTGATACAGTCAGTCCACAATAGGTAATAGGGAGAGTGGAACATTCCATTACAACAGATTTTTAAAATATTCGTGCTCTGGAGTGCCTAGTCTATACTACTATGAAAGAAAAACTGAAAATTGATTATTTCTGATTGCAGTATACATTGTATATCTCCACCGTATAATGTAAATGAAGTTTTACTAAATTTACTACAGAAATATAATACCAAATCGAGAAAACTCTATTTTCTGTGGTTAGAAATTAAGGCAAGAGTTCGTGATAGTATAAGGCTATTAAAGTTAGAACCTAATGCCTTGCTCTACAAAATTTATCACAGGATTTAAGAAATACTGCGTCCCTCAATAACATCAATAAGTTATGGTAAAATATTTATTTACAACATTATCTTCTTTTTAAAGCATTTATTCTAATGTGTAGCTATTGATAACAAAGAATGTACAGTGTCTTGGACAACTAAACCTGGTGTAGCCAATCTCTCTCCAGGTCAAACCACTGCCGTTGTCCTTCCAACTTCAGGGATCGCATTGGACACGGGCATATGACTATTGATTCCGTTGGAAGAACAGTCTAGGAAGCCTCCACCCAGCGACCGTGGGTGGTCACCACACTGTCTGTGTACATAAATATGGAGCTTATTGTGCTTGATAGTCATTGACCCTACAAGAAGGATCATTAGCCCTTTGTCAGGTCTTGTTTTATAATCCTGCTTGGTGTCTAGCTACCCTCATCACCAAAAAAGTTTGGTAAGGGAACCGTTTTAGTCGCCGATAATACGACCATCCGGTATTTAGTAATGGGTTATATGCTACCATTAACACTCGTAGAATGACTTGGCATAAATTTATTTTATACAAAAATGCATCAATAAATCCGCAGCCTGACACGAAATATTAGCTGAATTTAAAATTTGAACAAGACCTGAAAGTAAAGATACAGATGTAGCATGCGATACACACCAGGAAATACCAGATTAGCGGAATTGAATTTACTCTCAATAAGGAAAATTTTTGTTCTAAGAGAAGTTGATCTGTGGTGACCTCAATATAAACTTGGGATCACACTAAGAGATACCAAAAGAAAATTTGCACTCATCATTATCATACAAGAGCATCAGAGAATCTAAATGCCTCAGAGGTTGAACTAGGAGTTATCCTTATAGACACCTGGTATAGATTCATGCCTTCAGGTATTAGTGGCTACCTCCAACATTTAAACAGGGGGTTAAACCAAGCTACGCTTAGGATGTGTACATGTGGGACAACTGGTGCACCGGAATATATCTAAGCACCACACCCATAAAGGAAAAAGTCATAGAAACTCCCACATTCTCACATTTAGAGATAGCCTACAATGTTAAACACACTTATGCCAATATTAATTGACAAAGTCCAGAGGTGAATAAACTATACTTTTACGTATGAGAGATGTAGTTAATATTAGCTGAATGTTGATATAAAATTTTCTCTGTATAATGTTTGTTCCATGTGATTAAGTGCAATGGCGGGAATTTCCGTCTTAAAAATACAACCTCTATTATTCACTCCTGAATCAAGTACATTGTATCGGTAAGGAAGGTGTTCATGTTGAGAAAATTACTGTTTTCTCTTTTCTGTGTAAATAAATGCTTTTCATCATTTCGTTGCCTATGTATACGCGAAATATACGTGTACCTACCAAATATATGCATATAAATATTTGCATGTTGCTTTCTTGTAGACATGCCTCATTGTGCAGAGGAAACAGATGACGTTGATGGGAGTGGAATTACGTGGTTTGCTACCCGCGAAGGCCATGTCGATACGCAACCTTGCCCACCCGGGGTGCTCGGTAAGTATTAATAACGGCAAACATATTATTATTATTATTATTATTATTATTATTATTATTTCCTTGAATTTCTGATATATACATATTTCCTATCGGATCCCAACCAGAGACCTAGGGGCAGAAATGAATTCATGGCATCTTTCACTGATCATTTCTGTAAAAAACAAAACAAAAAGAATACCAAAGACCACACATTTTACATAGATAAATCTTTTCCTAATGTGTGGGTTGTACTTGTCAGTACAATGTTGTGTATTTCTTTAAGGCATGGGCTACCAGGAATCCATTCATTGAGTCTATTGGAACATTTTTCAATTAATCCGAGGGCTCCAACTACAACTGGAATTACTGATGTCCTCGTGTAACATATTTGAGATTTCCATTTCAAGATTCTTGTATTTTGATATTATTTTGAAGATCTTTACATTACAATCTGCAGAGACTGCCATATCAGTAAGAAAGCAAATTCTGTTCTTGTGGTGTTTGATCACCATGTTTGAACGATTCGCTTTGCTGTCTGTGTGCATTGTAAAGTCCAATAAAATTGTTACAGTTCCTATCTCTGTAACCATGTCTGACTGATGTTCATACCAGTGTCTTTCAGTTTTCTTCCCGCGAAAGTTGCATATTTTTCAGTGCAAATATTGGCAAAATCTATCATGCCGACTTCTATATTCAATAGCCCAATAGTGTTATAAAAACCTCGGAGAATTGCAGTAAGATATCTTTAATCATTTCTAAGATACAAGGTTTCAAAGTTTAATCAACAGTTGGACAATTTTCCTGTTACATGATTTGGACAATTTTGCAGTTACACCCGGTATTCATGAAGTCCCTAAGCACTGTAACATTTTCATCTAGAACTAATAATGGTTTATGGTCATACTAATTGTTGTAACATATCTATGGACGATACTGGGTATGTCCCCATTCACATAAATATATTAGTAAATACTGTATGTTGGTCTACAGTTGGACATTAGTCTCAAGTTGTGCTGCTCAAACTCTCTTGCCACCGGTTAGAGAGGATCCCCATACGTGGCTCTGTTGAATAACAGTCTCGTCTCGGGAAACAGCTACCCGACCCCGTTTTATACGAGGTCTACGTGTAATTTTTGGCCAAGCCTCCGGGCTCGGATACCCCAAATTAAATTCGGCCTTCAGCCACATCTGATCGCGTGGGGCGGTTGGTAGATATCCTACAGTTCAGTGTGGAATTCAATTGATTCACTTGTAGCAGGCGAATATGTATTGTTCGTGTCCTAAGTACTGTCGTTAATTACCAACCTTCGTTTGATTATTCTATTCAGTAACCTTCCCTAGGTTACAAAACTGTTTTTTGGCATGGAGAAGGTGCCATAGTTGGAAATTCTTTGAATTCGTTTTTCAGAAGTCAAGGGTCAATCGTTACCTGTCTTCACTTATCACGTAATCATCGCTTCGTATTTCCTACTCTTATATCACCCCCTCATTCTCTGCGTTGAGTGGCACTAGAACCTTTTATTCGGTAAATATTACCTCCCCCCACCCCCAAAAAATATAGCCTAATTGTTATCCCTTCATTTTCCTTTTTGTAAAGGTTGGTTAGAGAGGGGAATCTGATGTGTCTAGCCTATTTTTTGTAAAGGATTTTATAGACAGGGTCACGGAAACATCTTGTACAACATTTATCTCATCCTCTGTTAGTATCTGATGCACTGTTTCTTTAATGATATAATAATAGCTGGCCAGTCGTATTCGCGTGTACCCGTCTATTAGGGCGGCTAGCCAATCACTATTGCAGACGCTCGTTCAGGCACATTTGCGTTTGTTCAACACCCACAGTGCAAACCTGTGGTTTATACTGCAACTATGCTGAACAGACTTTAGTTAAAGGCTTTGGGAGAGAGCGTGTTATCTAGCGTGATCAACAATCTGAACAAGGCCAGCACACTCAAACTCTCGGTCACGATGACTTGTGACTTCGTGCTAGCACAGCTATCGACGCCCCCCCCAATGGTTCCGTCTACCCAATTCCACTCACAGTCTTTGGGTCAACTTGTGGAATGGTTTTCAGGTACTTTCCAAAGGTGCTGCACGCTGGGATCGTACCCCCGCCAGACCGATAGCATCAGGAGTCTACTTGCTGATGACAAATCAACCGTGGTGAGAAAGCAAACGTTCTAACCATTCGGCCTTCCCTAATAATATACACTTCTGCTATCAGTTTCACACTTTAACTTTGCTCTTAGCACACTAAAATTCACACACTATCCACATTTGCATTTGTTCTTTGTCTTTGTGTTTGCCCACTTCTTGCATCCCCCTCTTCCTAGTCTTCTTTGAACTTACCTGTGCCACTCGTAAATGCTCCATTTTTTTTATATAATATTCGCCAGAATCTATTTTCAAGAGGGCTACAATTTCCCATAGTTATTTTACCAATATACACACAAAAGTTGATATTAATCCACTGTTCCAGGTTTCTTTCGCTCATTATACACCAATAATCCGACCATGAACATGTACAACTTCCACTACTGCTCGGCAACAAATCATGTTTGCATTTCAAGAATGTGGAAGTTAGAATTTAAATACCTGGAAAGTGTTTTGACGGAGGACGGTAGTTGCGACGCTGAGACCCGAAGACGGATTGGGATCGCCAAGGATGCATTTCAAAATCAGGGCAGAGTGCAGCGAGACAGGAGGATTTCTATGGTGACAAAGAAAAAAGTACTGAGCTGTTACATGGCATCTGTCGTCCTATACAGAAGCGAATATTGGACAGTCTCCTCAAAGATGAAGAAGAGACTTGAGGCAGCTGAGATGTGGTTCTGCAGAAGGATGCTAAGGATAACATGGAGCGAGCGTGTGAGCAACGATGAGGTCTTAGCTAGGCTGCAAACAAGGAGGAGGCTTATACTTAACATAAGGAAGAAGCAGATGAAGCTTTTGAGACACGAATTGAGAAAAGAGGACCTGGAGAATCTGATACTCACAGGTCGAAAAGAGGGAAAAAGAGACAAGGGAAAGCAACGCATGACATACCTGGCGGGCTTAAGCAAGTGGATGACAGAACGTTGTCTTGGGGGAGTTGTCTGAGGCACGAAACTTATTGAGAGCTACAAGTGGTAGGGAAAAGTGGAGAGCCATGATCGACTACGTCCTGAAAGGACATGGCACATGAAAAGAAAAAGAAGTAAATCGTTTACTATTAAATTGCATTGAAAATCAGGAAGGTTGTGAATGTCAGTAATTAACACAAGCATTACCAACAAAACAGGCCCATTAAATGTATGATGTAAATGAATTGTAAAGTATTTTGCAATGTAGATAGAGTAAGGGAAAACAAATATTCGTACACATACAAATTTTAATTTATTTTATTTCCAAATAATGAATAAACATACTATTCATATAATTAACTCTACACAGATGAATAATAACTAAATATGCATGGAAAACAGGGAAAATGATTTAATAGAAATAAATCCCATTTATCCATTTTAATGAGTGAAAAATGTATTCCTGCAATGCAAATTTCAGATTTTAAAACTTTTCAATTTCTTTAATACTCAAGATTATCAGAGTGGAATATTCTAGAATGTTCCAATAATTTTATCAGTAGTTATTTTTAGCCCCCAAAATACAAACAGAACATTCTGTAATCGATATTCGTGCAAGAAAATTTTCATCATGACAAGAGGTAAAGAATTGACAAATTCATAAAAAGAACTGACTGTTAAGCTCTGGAAAGAATGTAAAAGCTACAGGAAAATCTCTGACAACCCGAATATTCCATTTACTATCATTCTTCCATTCATTGCAAGGTATAAAAAAAAAAAAAACTCAAAATTGATGAAAACTAAAGAAGAACAGGTTCTCCATAGAAGATTTCTGCAAGAGCTCCGAGGAAATTAATGTGTCAAATTAAACAGAATCTAATGGTTACTCGTCAAGAGTTTTAGGAGGATTTACTTTCATCAGGAATCTGTGTCAGTAAATGGACAATAAGCAATAAAATACATATGAACAATCTAAAGACACGCTCCCCTAGGAAAACTCCTCTGCTATGGAAAAGACAGAGAGTTTCCTTTTTGAAATTGTTCGTGAACATAACGGTAAGGAAAAATCATAATTGGCAAAGAGTATTATGGACAGACAAAATCAAAATTGAGTTGTTTTGACGTAATTCTAGAAATCATGTATAAAAGAAAGATGGCGATGCCTTCAAAAAAAAGAACACAGTTCAAACAGGGAAATTTGGTTGTGGCAGCATCATGGTTTTGAGATGTTCTTCTGCAAAAGGTACTGGTAATATATCAGTAATAGATAGTAGAATGGATGCCGCAGCATATCAAAATATTTTGGAAGCAAATTTAATGATATCGGTCGAAAATCTTGAACTTCCTCCTGTTGGATCTTCCAACAGATATTGATCCTAAGCACAGTGAAAAATCTAAAAGAAAGGGATTTCTGAAAATAATGTAAATATCCTGAAATGGCTAAATCAGTCCACAGATTTAAAGTCACTCGAGAATCTGTGGAGTTATTTAAAAATTCAAATCCAATCGAGAGCTCCCACAAACATCCCAGATCTGAAGACGATATGCACAGAAGAATGGAACAAAATACCAACTAAAATTTGCAAATCATTAATTGAGAACAACATGAAGAGGTTGGTTGTTGTACAAGTGAATAACGATTCTACAAGGTACTAAATGAAGATTTTGTATTCTTTTTTTGTATTGTACGAATACTTTTTCACCGATTAAAATAGATAAATGAATTTATTTCTATTAAATCATTTTATTTCTGTTTTCTATGCATATTTAGTTATTATGCATCTGTGTACAGTTAATTATATGAATACTATGTTTATTCATTAGTTGGAAATACAATTAAACATTTGTATGTGTACGAATATTTGATTCCTTCCACTGTATATTGTTCGTCTTGAAGAGAAACATTGTCAGCAGTTCAGAATTATTGTATGCGTTACTGACAGAATAAAGTTATTA